CAGAAAACAATGATATACCCATCTTATATACTGAGAATATATTGTGCTCCTGAAGGAGAATGTCCTTGTTCTTAGGAGATGAACAATTTGGTGTATGGAATAGAATGTCATGATATAAAAACCATTAAGAAATGTATATATTGAAACTTGGTGCTATTGGCTCATACCTGCAATCCTAGCTACTCAGGAGGCTGAGATCTTAGGATCACGATTCAAAGCCAGCCCAGACAGCAAAGTCTATGAGACTCTTATCTCTAATTAACTATTTTTTTTTAAAGCTGGAAGTAGAGCTGTGGCCCTAGTAGTAGAGCATGAACTTTGAGCAAAAAAGCTCAAGGACAATGAAGTCAAGCCCCAAGCATGCACGCGTGCACGCGCGCGCACACACACACACACACACACACACTCAAAAAAAAAATGTCTCTACAAGTAGAAACCTTATCTGCTTTATTGTTCAGGACCTGGAGCAATACTGAGCATAAAGTAAGTTCTAAATAAATGGTTACACTCAGGAATGCTACAACAAGGATATAGAATCATAGCAATATTGGTAGTTACCACTTATTGAGTATCTATATCTGAGATGTCCAGTTCTAAGAGTTTTTTTTTTTTTTTATGTACAGTTAATTGGTTTGAGGGAGGATTTCATCCTGGTGCCTAGATTGGCCAGGAATTCTTGGATTCAAGCTATCCTATATAAGTGTGTAGGGAGACTACCTGCAAGTGCTCAGTCAGAGTTTTATATATGGAATCTTATTTGAACCTCTGATTTTCTCAAAGTAGTATTTCATTTTACAGACTTGGGAACCAAGGTATTTTTTTTTTTTTTGGGTCCGGTCGTGGGGCCTGAACTCTGGGCCTGGGCACTGTCCCTCAGCTCTTCAGCTCAAGGCTAGCGCTCTACCATTTGAGCCACAGCGCCACTTCCGGCTTTTTTCTTTTTGCTTATGTGGTGCTGAGGAATCGAACCTAGGACCTCAGGCATGCAAGGCAAGCACTCTACCACTGAGCCACCTTCCCAGCCCCAACCAAGGTATTATAAAAGTAACATCTTGCTTCAGGTTGTCTACCCAGTATGCAACAGAATTTGTATTTGGATCCACTACTGCCTAACTTCATAGTCCATCCTCTGAACCTAGAGGCTACTGTTCAAAATGCTGTCTTGGGACTTTTGTCTTAAAGTTTACGGAAAACTGCAAAAGACATAGGATAGCAAAACTACTTGGGCAAAACTCACCTAGAGTAAAAGTATGACTTACAGTAAAAGTTCAGGGCACTGGTGGGCACACCTATAACCCTAGCTACTTTAGGAAGATGAGGTCTGAGACTCATGCTTCAAACCAGCAAGGGCAAAAAAGTCTGTGAGACCTTATCTCCAATTTAAAAAAAGCTGGAAGTGGAGCTGTGGCTCAAGTGGTAGAGTGCCAGCCTTGAGCAAAAAAAGCTCAGAGTGGGCTGGGAAGGTGGCTCAGTGGTAGAGCGCTTGCCTTGCATGCCTGAGGCCCTGGGTTCGATTCCTCAGCACCACATAAGCAAAAAGAAAAAAGCCGGAAGTGGCGCTATGGCTCAAATGGTAGAGCGCTAGCCTTGAGCTGAAGAGCTGAGGGACAGCGCCCAGGCCCAGAGTTCAGGCCCCACGACCGGACCCCCCCAAAAAAAAAAAAAAAGCTCAGAGTCAGCGGTCAGGCCTTGAGTTCTAGTGCCAGGGCCATTTCAAAAAACAAACAAAAGGCGTGGCCCAGTTGACCCTGCTTTGGGACTGCTCACATTCTCCAGGCTAGTGAGCACTACAAAGGGCGAGGTGGGGTTTGCGCAAGAACTACAACTCCCAGAAGACATTGGGCAGAGAGAAGTACCAGGGTTTCCGGCCAGAGTTTATTTCCGGCTCTTCGGGTGCTGACGTTCTCTTCCGGTCGTGTGGCCCTAGAAAAGCTTTTGGGGTGCGCATGGTGAGTCCCGAGACTTAGTCTGTCCCAGTAGGAGCGGAGAAGGAACTCGTGTCCATACGTCAGTCAGTGGTTGGGGTCAGCATAAAGAGGGCAGAGAGCGCGCTGGCGGGAGGGTACCCCTGACGAGATTCCGGGAGGGGGCGATCGTATTGAGCGCCCCCCCCAACCCCCCAGCCTGGGACAAGAATAAGGACGGAGGGGGGGGATGAGGATGTATGGCATCCTGGGAGTGGCTTAGTGGGGAGGCATACAGGGACGTGGGGAAGAGAGGAGCCGCAGAAAGGCTGCAGCCGAGGAGGACCCCCTGTGAGGGAATGCTAGAGGCTGCTGCAGATCAGAGATCGGCAGAAAGCTGGTACCCCAAGGAAACCCCTATTCTGGCCACGTCACACCCTCTAAGAAGACTCCCATCAGTTGCTGAGCACCCGGGGTTCTTGACAGTTTTGAATAGGACCGGGGATACTGCTAGGACTGGCTTTGGGCAGAGATGTAGGAGAGTCTGGAGAATAGGTAAGAGAGGCGGCTCGTGCAGTTCACTGTGGAAGGGACTGCTGTTTTGATAGGATCAAAAGCGTTTACCTACCTGGGTTGATTGCTGGTTTTGCTTTTTTCTCCAAAGATGAGGCTACTGATATTTATAGTGTTGGCTCTATTAACTGCCACTCAAGCAGAGGAAGGAGCCAGGCTTTTGGCTTCCAAATCGCTGCTAAACAGATATGCTGTGGAAGGGCGAGACCTGACCCTACAGTACAACATTTACAACGTTGGCTCAAGGTAAGGAGACCCCTGGAGTTCCAGATTGGATCTTTAGATTCTGAGTTCTCAGAGAGGCATAGGTATCCTAGGGGATAGTGATTTCTCTGAGAGACCTCCAGTATCCAGTTAAAGAGTGAATTAATATACTGTTGGGGAAGTGGTGCTCTGGCTCAAGTGGTAGAGCGCTGGCCTTGAGTTGAAGAGCTGAGGGACAGCGCCCAGGCCCAGAGTTCAAGCCCCATGACCAACAACAACAAAAAAATACTGTTGGGCCTGCTTTTGGAAGTGTGGGGTTTGTTACCTATGCTACAAGCAATAGTCTGCCATTTATTTGAGCTGGAAGAGATTCACAGTAGAGGAGAAGCAAGAATTGTGAAACAGGACGGGGAAAAGGACAGAAAATTCACAATACTTTTTACCTCGGGGATTCAAAGTTACAGCTTCCTTTTTTTTTGTTAGCCTGTTCATCTTATTCCCTTTAAATTTTTCTACTGTATTCATCTGGCTTTTCTTCCTTCCTTCTTTTTTTGGTTGGTCATGGGGTGGGGCTTGAACTCTAGGCTTGGACGCTGTCCCTCAGCTCAGGGCTCAAGGCTAGCACTCTACCACTTGAGCCACAGCTCCACTTCTGACTTTTTCTGCTCATGTGGTGCTGAGGAATTGAACCCAGGGCCTCATGAATGTGAGGCAAGCACTCTACCACTGAGCCACCTTCCCAGCCCTTTTCTTCCTTCCTTACTGGACCTCAACAGAGAAATTAAGGCAAGAATGGATTTGCACCCGTTCTCCTAGGTTCTTAAGTGTTGGTGCTTCTGAGCATGGAATTCAGATCTTGATCTGGATTTTCAGTAGAGCATGCCAAGTGTGCTATGTGACGTTTTCTGAGTTCTGGATTTTTAGGAGAATCAAGCAGATTTGATTTGATCTGATTTGTTTCCTCTGTTTTCTAGTGCTGCACTAGATGTGGAATTATCGGATGATTCCTTTCCTCCAGAAGACTTTGGCATTGTCTCTGGTATGCTCAATGTCAAATGGGACCGGATTGCTCCGTATCCTCTTGGCTGTGGGTAATCAGGCTGGGGAAAGAGAAGAGGAATATTGCCTGCAAAGAGGCAAGGGAATTTCTACCAGGCTGGTCTTATATGGTTATTCTATCATATATTTGGTAAGGGTCAGACTGGTACAAGTTGTGTGAGCATGCCCTGAAACATACTATATTAGGAGGATGTATACATACTTGTAAAGGTATGTGGGTCTTGGGAGCATGGTTCAAGTGGTAAATAGAATTCTTGCTTAGCAAGTTCAAAGGCCTGAGTTCAATACTTGGTGCTACTTTTTGTGGTACTGATCAAACCCAGGACCTTGTGCCTGCCAAGCAAATATTGTGCTACTGAGCTACATCCCAATCCTAAGTCACTTTTAAAAGAAATTTAGTGGGGGCTTGGAATGTGGCTTAGTGGTAGAGTGCTTGCCTAGCATGCATGAAGCCCTAGGTTTGATTCCTCAGTAACATATATGCAGAAAAAGCCAGAAGTGGTGCTCAAGTGGTAGAGTGTTAGCCTTGAGCCCAGAGAAGCTCAAGGACAGTGCCTAGGACCTGAGTTCAAGCTCCGGGCCTGGCAAAAAAAAAAAAAAAAGTAAAAAGATTTAGTGGGATGCTAACTTGGATTAAATAAGCTTTTATTTGCCGGGTGCCAGTGGCTCATGCCTGTAGTCCTAGCTACTCAGGAGACTGAGATCTGAGGATCATGGTTCAAAGCCAGCAGGAATGTCCATCAGTGAGACTCTTACCTCTAATAAACAACTCAGAAAACCCGAAGTGGGGCTGTTGCTCAAGTGGTAGAGCACTGGCCTTGAGCTGAAGAGCTGAGGGACAACAATCACCCAGGCCCAGAGTTCAAGCCCCACGACAGACCCCTCCAAAAAAGCTTTTATTCATTGAGCCCCCTTTTCCCCCTATTTATCATTTATCTTCAAAGTATTGAATTAGATGCTTCAGTTTTTTTGTTTGTTTGTTTTGCCGGTCCTGGGACTTGAACTTCGGCCTGGGTACTGACCCTGAGTCTTTCTGTACTCAAGGCTAGTGCTATATCACTTGAGCCACCTGGCCACTCCAGTTTTTTTCTGAGTAGATTATTGGAGACAAGAGCCTTATGGACTTTCCTACCCAGGCTGGCTTTGAACTGTAGTCCTCAGATCTCAGCCTCCTGGGTAGTTACGATTATAGGCGTGAGCCCCTGGCTAAATTAGATGCTTGAGGTTTGGGGGCGGGGTGGGGGTGGGGAGGAGGGGATGGGGGCGAGTGGAAGCTTCACAGATTTATGTGTCATACTTACACAAGGGCCATGTTAATCTTACTTCTATCATTCCAATGTTAGTATATGTGCTACCAAACCAATACAGCTTTTTCTTTGCCTCTTGCGATTAAAGTATATTTAGATTTTCTGGTAAGTGTAAATGTTCACACACTGTGTGTGTGTGTGTGTGTGTGTGTGTGTGTGTGTGTGTGTGTGTGTGTGTGTGTGTGTGTGTGTAGGTTTTTCTATTTTCAAGAGGTTCCAGGGTTGGGACGGTGGCTCCAGTGGTAGAGAGCTTGCCTTGCATGCCTGAGGCCCTGGGTTCGATTCCTCAGCACCACATAAGCAAAAAGAAAAAAGCCGGAAGTGGCGCTGTGGCTCAAGTGGTAGAGCGCTAGTCTTGAGCTGAAGGATAGTGCCCAGGCCCAGGGTTCAGGCCCCACAACCAACAACAACAACAAAAAAAAGAGATTCCAAGCCGGACACCAGTGGCTCACACTTGTAATCCTAGCTACTCAGGAGACTGAGATCTGAGGATCATGGTTCAAAGACGACTTTAAGTCCTTGAGACTCTTATTTTCACTAAACCACCAGAACACTGGAAGTGGCCCTGTGGTTCAAGTGATAAAGCGCTTGCTTTGAGCTGAAGAGCTCAGTGACAGTGGCCAGGCCGAGTTCAAGCCCTACAACCTACCAGAAAAAAAAAAAAAAATCCAGCAGGATCCCATGGCTCACAACTGTAATTCTAGCTACTCAGGAGGCTGAGATCTGAAGATCTTGGTTCAAAGCCAGCCCAGGCAGGAAAGTCCCTGAAACTCTTTTTTTTTTTTTTTTGTCGGTCGTGGGGCTTGAACTCTGGGCCTGGGCGCTGTCCCTCAGCTCTTCAGCTCAAGGCGAGCGCTCTACCACTTGAGCTACAGCGCCGCTTCCGGTTTTCTGGTGGTTTATTGGAGGTAGGAGTCTCACGGTCTTTCCTGCCCGGGCTGGCTTTGAACTGTGATCCTCAGATCTCAGCCTCCTGAGTAGCTAGGATTACAGGCGTGAGCCACCAGCGCCCGGCTCCCTGAAACTCTTATCTCTAGTACACCACCAGAAAACTAGAATTGGTGGTGTCACTCAAGTGGTAGAGTACTAACCTTGAGCTGAAGAGATTTTTTTTTTTTTGTCAGTCATGGGGCTTGAACTCTGAGCCTGGGCACTTTCCCTGAGCTCTTCAGCTCAAGGTTGGCACTCTACCACTTGAGCCATAGCTCCATTTCCAGCTTTTTCTGTGTATGAGGTACTAAGGAATCAAACCTGGGGCTTCGTGTATGCTAGGCAAGCACGCTACCACTAGGCCACATTCCTAGCCTGTATTTTTTATTTATTTATTTTTTTGGTGGGGCTTGAACTCAGGACCTGGGTGCTGACTCTGAGCTCTTTTGTGTGTATGTGCGGGGGGGAGGGGGGTGCGGTCCGGTCGTGGGGCCTGAACTCTGGGCCTGGGCACTGTCCCTCAGCTCTTCAGCTCAAGGCTAGCGCTCTACCACTTGAGCCACAGCACCACTTCGGCTTTTTTCTTTTTGCTTATGTGCTGCTGAGGAATCGCATCCAGGGCCTCATGCATGCAAGTGCTCTACCACTGAGCCACTGGGCCACCTTCCCAGCCCCCCTGAGCTCTTTAGCTAATAGCTAGTACTCTACCACTTTGAGTCACAGTGCCACTTCTTCTTTTTGAGTGGCTAATTGGAGGTAAGAGTCTCGGGTACTTTTTGCCTGGGTTGGTTTTGAACTGTGATCCTAAGATCTCAGCTTCCTAAGTAGCTAGGATTACAGACGTGAGCTTGGCATATATCCTCCACCCCTGCTTATAGAGTTTTACATGCATGAAGTCATCACATGTGTCAGCAACTCTTTTGTTAGAAGGGCTTTTAGTCTACAAGTTGCAGGTTACAACCACCTTAGTTTCATTATCTTTTCCCCTTCCTTAACCCTTGGACCAGTGCTAGCAATGTCTCCCACACTGTGGTCCTGCGCCCTCTTAAGGCTGGTTATTTCAACTTCACGTCTGCAACAATTACTTACCTGGCACAGGAGGATGGACCTGTTGTGGTGAGTTGCTCAAATCCAGAGCTGAATGGGACTTGGATTTTCCTTCTCCTAAAAACTCTGAGGAATGCAGCCCTGGCAGGAAAGTTGTGAGACTCTTACCTCTAGGTAACCATCCTAAAATCCAGAGGTTGTGCTGGGTACCGGTGACTTACACCTGTAATCCTAGCTACCTAGGAGGCTGAGATTTGAGGATCACAGTTCAAAGCCAGCCTGGGCAGGAAACTCTGTGAGACTCTTATCTCCAATTAACCACCAGAAAACTGGAAGTGGCTCTGTGGCTCGAGTGGTAGAGCACTAGCCTTAAGCTGAAGAGCTGAGGGACAACGCCCAGGCCCAGAGTTCAAGCCCCAGGACCAACCAAAAAAAAAAAAATCCAGAAGTGGAGCTGTGCCTCAGGTGCTAGAGCACCAGGCTTGAGCAAATTCAAAGGTCAGGACAGCACCCCAAGCCCTCAGTTCAGGCCCCAGGACCAGCGCAAGACAAAAAAACTCTTACAGAAAATGTCCATAATAGCCACCAAATTCCAAAGAGATAAGTTAACCGGAAACTTGTCCTAGAGAAGTATGATTCAAATTGTGAAGTTCCGAAATAGAGTGGTTGGAGTGGGAGGAGAGGAGGGGGGAAGGGAGAGGTGGGGAAGAGTACCATAGCATTCTCTTACAATTTATTTTTTCAATTTGAAGAATTCTCTGCCTCCATTATCTGAAGCCTTGTCAAGACCTAGTTTTGAGCTGTATCTCTTTTATACATATTGTTTTTATTCTTTCAGTAAGTGTTCATTGAGTATAACAAAACTACTTTAACACTTACAATCTGTGCTACTTAAATATTTAATTACTTACTGTCTTCAGTATTTTCACTTGTCTTTCCTCCTCTACCCTCACCTCCCAATTTAATTTTAAACTCCTTGACGCCAGAGATTTTGTCTTAGATTCTCTTTGTTTCCTATAGGTAAAACAGAAACCCAGTAGCGCGGGCTGGGAAGGTGGCTCAGTGGTAGAGCGCTTGCCTTGCATGCGTGAGGCCCTGGGTTCGATTCCTCAGCACCACATAAGCAAAAAGAAAAAGTCTGGAAGTGGCACTGTGGCTCAAGTGGTAGAGCGCTAGCCTTGAGCTGAAGAGCTGAGGGACAGCGCCCAGGCCCAGAGTTCAGACCCCACGACAGGACAAAACAAACAAATAAAAAACAGTAGCAAACTGCTTTTTGATTGATTGATGTAAATATCCAGATATTTATTGAACTTTTAGGATGCTAGACTCTGGGAAGTACCAAAACCTTGTCCTGGTCCTCAAGAAAAGTCCCACTGTGGGCTGGGAAGGTGGCTCAGTGGTAGAGCGCTTGCCTTGCATGCCTGAGGCCCTGGGTTCGATTCCTCAGCACCACATAAGCAAAAAGAAAAAAGCCGGAAGTGGTGCTGTGGCTCAAGAACGCTAGCCTTGAGCTGAAGAGCTGAGGGACAGCGCCCAGGCCCAGAGTTCAGGCCCCACTACCGGACCCAAAAAAAAAAAGAAAAGAAAAGAAAAGTCCCACTGTGTACCTTTGGCTCATTTCTATATTCTTAGCTACTCAGGAGGCTAAGACAATTGCAGTTGGAAGTAAGCACTGGCAAAAAAGCCTATGAGACTCTTGTCTTCAATTGACTACCCCCCCCCAAAAAAAAAAAAAGTCATAAGTGGGGCTGTGGCTCAAGTAATAGAGCTCTAGCCTTGAGCAAAGAAACTTAGGGACAGTGCCTAGGCCCTGAGTTCAAGCCCCAAGACTGGCACAAAAAAAATAATAAATATTTTGCCTGGCACCATTGGTCACAACTATAATCCTAGCTGCTCAGGAGACTGAGATCTGAGGATCACCGTTGGAAGCCAACCAGCAGGAAAGTCCATGAGACTCTTATCTCCAATTAATCACCAAACAACTGGAAGTAGTGTTACTCTTCTAGTGGTAGAAGCAACCAGCTCTGAGCATAAAAGCTCAGGGTCAGTGCCCAGGGCCTGAGTTCAAGCCCCAGGACCAGCACAAAAACAAAACAAAAATCTGTAACACTCAGTGTAGTTTCTGAATTTTTTCATAAACCACATGAAATTGTATCCTCATAATCTAGCCATATTTTCACATGTATCATCTGCTTTCAGTCAACTTTAGGACTTGGTTATACCTGGCATTCAATAGGTTAATAGACACAAAATTAAAGTCTTAGCTGTCACTAGAGTGAAGTTGTTTGCAATGTGCTCCAAACTCTTAGTCTCCTCTTCAAAGCAAAGGAATGTTGGCCAGGCACAACCCTCCCTTACTAATGTACATTTGGGTAGGGCTTTAGACTTTTCAGAACCTTTCTCATTTCATTTGAGTAGAGGAAGAGTATTTTCACTTTAGAATAAGTAAACAATTGCCAAGGGCAATCATTTCATTCCATTACACGTCTAGTCTTACAGAGAGGCCAGTGGTGAGCTGTTTTACTCAGGCTGGGACAAGAGAATTGAGGTTTAATTTCAGTTGCATAGCTTGCCTGCTTGGCTAAAAAGTGCTCCTTATTGGTGTTTCTTAGGTCTCCTGGTTCCTAATTTATGCTTTTTTCTTACATACCTTTCTTTTTTGAAATGCTAAGGATTGAACCCAAGGCTTCACACCTACTAGGCAAGCACTCCACTACTGGGCTCCATTCCCAGGCCCGTCTTCATCTTGAAACACTCTTGGGTGCTTTGGAAACTAAGAATCTAATGTTTAGAGCTAGGTTGTTTAGGACCAACCTCCCAGATGAGGTGACTTGGATGCTTGCATTAATGCTGTTTCTTCTTTTCAGATTGGCTCTACCAGTGCCCCTGGACAGGGAGGAATCCTGGCTCAGCGGGAGTTTGATAGGAGATTCTCCCCTCATTTTGTAAGCTTTCTAGCATTCTCTATTTGCATTCATTTGGTATAAGAATACCTTTTTGGGGGGCCGGGAAAGTGGCTCAATGGTAGAATGCTCGCTTTGCATGCGTGAGGCCCGCCCTGGGTTTGATTCATCAGTACCAC